CAAAATGGCCACCAGTCAGCCATTTTGAATCCAATCTGAAAAATAAAATGACATGCATCAGGAACCCATAATCTCTAAGAAAAACCCAAATAAAAATACTTGTTTAAGATAATAATAAAGAATGTACAAATATGTCAATTTCCGAAGACAAATTGACAAGAAACCTCTTTATTGTTATAGTTCCAAGTAATATAAATTAACAATTAATACTATGGTTTGTAATGATTTTCCAGAACTCAACTCATCTCATCTCTGTGGAATTAAGAGTCAGTTTTAAGAAATTGTCTTTTTGCTGTTGGTAAATCTTTTTAGCGATTTTATATAGTTTAATATCCCATATGTTTCTACGACTTAGTTCATTGAATTCATAATCTGTCAAGTTATAACTGTGGATTGGAATTGATATGGATGTCATCATTGTGTGATATTCCAAACAATCTAGTTAACATTTCTTTAGAAGTTTTGAAATCCTCCATGAGACCAATAAAACCAAAGTTTTGTTCTAAATTTCGTTTCGCAACCAAGTAATGTTCTTTTGTATGGCAGGAATTTTGTACACATCCTTTAGTTCTACTCCACCGCAACAGTCCTCGAAAGTCGAGTCAATCTCTGGAAAGTCACCAAACTGCAGGAGACGTACATAAAAGTTGTCCATGTCTTGGAAGTGAATATTGGATGTTTTCATTAAATATTCGGTGAGATTACTAGTTTCTGTAACATATTTTCGGCAAATGTAATGAACACTAAAACAGTTGGTTTTCTTTGTGTAGAAATAGGTGGACATCATTCTGTTGATTGGTTCCCTCATCCAGGTGACATAGACAAACGGCCGCTTACGATAAGCATAATTATGGAGACCAAATGTTCTTTTAGAGTAAAACAATGTTTGTGCAGAATTTCTTCGAAAACCTTTGCTAGATGCTTGGCGATACATATCAGAGCAATGTGAAACACGAGATTTGTGTAAAACACCATTTTTATTTATTCCCGGGACGTTGTATAGAACGCTCTCCACTGAGGTACCTCCAGCTTTGGGTAGATGCACAAACGCTATGTTCGCATCTCGGTACTCCTTGTATGCACCCAAATTGTTAATGTTCTTATTAAGATAAAAGTTTGGAAGCGGTTTCCTACCAATCTCTGTGGAATTCAGACAACGTCTTATGTATTTCATGGCAATGTCACAGTCTAGGTATTTTGTTTGTTTTTTCTCCTCCGCGACAAAAACTGAAAGTGCATCGCAGCTCCACTGTGACCACAGATCAGCTAACGAGTTGGCATAACTGTCCGTATTCAAAGGTGGCAAATCTGTTGTACTAATATTTGGAGTAGTACTTATCACAGAGTGTTGCATATTAACTGTCTTGAGTTCTCTAAATACACTATCAGTAAAAATCTGTGTAAGAATCACAGAAGTAATAGCCAATGCGATGATCATTGTTAGCAGACGGCGTAGCTTCTTCATCTTCATTAGAGAATGAGGTGTGTGCTTCAACATTCTTACCTAGTAATACACAACAAAAATATGCAATAAATAACCATGCTATCATCAATTTTGTAAAAGTTGGGGATAATTTAAATGACAATGTTTATTGTGTACAATTTATGGAGCTACCTGTTATCATTTAGTTCCATATGGTAACACGAAAATAACATTCTTTTGTGTGCGGTATTTTGAGAAAATTGGCCATATATTATTCAAAAATGTTTATTTTTAGAATAATTTATATTCTTATACATCTGTTGCCGCAACGACTTAAGTTACAGCGTGCTGTAATTTTGCGGTATATTACACTGGGCATTTTCATCCTACCATATTAAGAATTCCAAATATGGAACAAGTACTCGCGTAAGCATCCTTTAATAATAAAAAACAAACATGGCTGCCCCCAGGGTTTGACCACACCCCACACAAAGAGGTTTGTTAAATCTGTGCTAAACATTTTGGATTTCAGGATTCCCATGATGTGTTCCTGGGATGTATAATGTACAACTTAGACTGCACGTCTGTCGATACTCCCGCTGTACTGTCTTCGTGCATACTTTGCAGTATCCTCATAACAACCTGGCATTTTTGCAGCAAAATGGCATTTTTGGCACTAATTAAAACCAAGATTAGACTGGCGACCCTAATCATTTCATTTTTACCAGAAGTAAAATTTTTCACAAAATGGATAATTTCTAGGTATTTTCATTTTCATTCTGTCTTAACACATATTTTACCAGTATGACTGCCAAATCAACAATAGACACATATCTTCTATTGTATTTTATTTTAAATGAATAGCAGTATACAGATTTATCAGATATTTTGTGACAAATTTTTCAGTCTCTATTTTTTTACTGGATACATTATTTATTATATTAAGGTAAATTTTCAGCAAGAAAGATAAAAAATAATTTATTTAGTGTTTTCCTTTAATAATTTTGTTACAAAATATTGGATTATATTGTATCTTTCAGATTTCACTAGTGATAAATTACAACGTTGTTATATTATTATAATAAACAAAATAATACACCGGAGTGCACAGTTTTATAGAGCTCAGGATTCTTGATATAGACAGACAGTATGAATTTCAATTAGTGTTATTTTTAATTGCATCATAATCAATAGGCAATTATACTATAGAATTTCTCAATATTATTGTCATTTAAAACATTGTTATTTAACATGGTTCACGAGTATATGTGTGACATGATGTATTTGTAAAGTTTGAGTGTGATCTGTCCTGAACAGCATTTGTTAAAACACAATGGCCACCAGCCAGCCATTTTTAATCAGATCTGTGAAAAAAAATGAAGTGCATTAAAAACTTATTATACATGTATCTAATATACTGTACATACCAAACTTGAAAGAAATATGTTTATGTGCGACTGTAATTTGGTTAAAAAATGACAGAAAATAATTGACTGTGCTCAAAACAAAAGCAGAACATACAAAGGTGTAATTATACACAATTAAATCCAAACGAGAAAACGTTATTGTAAAACATGATTACAGCAGTTACACCGATTACGGCAGTTACACCGATTACAGCAGTTGCACCGATTACAGCAGTTGCACCGATTACAGCAGTTGCACCGATTACAGCAGTTGCACCGATTACAGCAGTTGCACCGATTACAGCAGTTACATCAATTACAGCAGTTACACCGATTACAGCAATTACACCGATTACAGCAGTTACACCGATTGTGGAGATTCAATTTTACCAATATCTATAATACAATACTGTAAAATACTTTAATTTTGCTTGAAACTAAATTTTGTTATTTTCGATGAAGGAATAATTCAGTAAAAATAAAATTCAGCGGATATACCTTTTTTCCTATATTTTGCATTGAACTTGTAAAAAATCAGTGAAAATAAATTCCAAACAAAACACCCAAAAATTCTTTTCAGCAAAAATGAATTCCAGCTAAAATAAAGTATTCTACAGTATACATGTATGTGCCACCAACATTGAATTGATAATAATAGCAACATTGATTGATAATGTACAGTACATAAGTTTGGGAAAGATTCAAGGAAAATTACTGACAACGACAGACTATTACCCCTAACATGTACCTGCAGTTTCAATTCATTACAGACAAGGCAATTAACTAATAATTAAATAATATTAGAATTCAGTGGTGGTAAAAATATCAAATTGCATGCCACATTTTCAACATGTTTTACAGTATTTTTATGTAAGAATGGCAAATTATGTGTAATTTTACAATAGGTATCCCCATTATTGTGCAAGTTGCAAAGCTTTATAGTTTCATAGCATACACAACTTACTGTGAAAGCCTTACTTTTCACGGTTTTCATCACAAAATAAGAAAAAAGGTGCAGAAAAATTAGGGATTTAAATTAAGAATTTCCCCTCATGACTTTCAATTTTATTTCAAATATCGAGGTTTACCGGTAAATAAGTTCACTAAACACCTAATATGACTAGCCCCCCCCCCCCAAAAAAGAATTATTTTGTTTCCATTAACAGGTTAAAAAAATACTTGGTAGGTGGGCAGATGTTTTTTTTTCCCCCAATGAGCTGCACATGTATGTATACTAGTCCTAAGTTCAGTTTGCATGGACATACCAGTTACAACAGTTTTTAAAACATGTAGATTGATCGACTCCGAGGTACCATCATTTCCAATCGAGAGCCAATTTTCTAAATTTATCTTGAAAAAACAATATGGAATGCATGATTTATAGTAAAATAAAAGTTTCGGCTACAAATATAACTGTATTAGTTTGATGAAATAATGAAACTGCTATGTATCTGTACTTTGAATTTATCAAATAAATATTCCTATGTCTGCTGCCGAAATGCAGTAATAGTGAATATTAAAAACAGCATGTATATAGACAGCCACACATTCAACCAACTTAAAAATTCCTCAAATACTACCTACAGATACGATATTATTGGATTTTAATTATTAGACAGTGTTTTGTAACTATATTCCATTGTGTAACCATTATTATTTCCCAGTTGTTTATATTTGAATGTGAATTTTGTTGGTTATTTTTTTTTTCGATTGTTTTTCTATTGTTATGTAACCATTTTAATATTTTCGTGAAATTTTGTTGAAATTATGTACAATCATCTCTTCAAATTTCCATGGTACAGTACATTTATCAATCTAATAAATTGTTTTGTTGAAGTTAAACGGGCCAAAATTCAAATATTTGGTAACCTAAGGAGTCAAGTGTAGGTTTGGCCAAAAAACCTAACAATTTTTTGAACTTTTTATATATTACTATTGCACTGAACAGAAATATTAATAACAAGATTCACAGTTGTGAAGTACGACTAGTGTGAATTATCACTGGCTTTGGCCATAACTGCAAATGCGAGTCCACCAACATGTTTAAGCATTATGCTAATTAGCATAAATTTGCATATGTTATTCCTAAGCATAGTTCTAGAAAATTATGATTTTCCAGCCATTTTGGACCTCAATTGATAAACAAGTTAATGAAAAGACATTAATATTTGCTGGTTTTAATTTAGCTATTTTGGACCTCAATTGATAAACAAGTTAATGAAAATACATTAATTATTTGCTGGTTTTAATTTAGCTATTTTGGACCTCAATTGATAAACAAGTTAATGAAAATACATTAATTATTTTGCTGGTTTTAATTTAGCCATTTTGCAAAAAGTTAAATCACTAAATTTAACTCACGTTAACAAGTTTTGTGAACTTGAAAAACCAGGTAAAATTGCTGAAATCACCAAAATAGTGAAAATACATGCCAGTTTTACAGTATCACCTGAATTCAATATTGTTGTTAATTGTTACTCAAAAAAGACTGGCCCCCTAATTTTCAGTATATTTTTTTTTAACTTGTTTAAAAAGACGATTGGAAAAAATGTACTGAATAGTTAAACAAGAACAATAGTATCTTTTGATTTCATGGTGGGATTAAAAAACTCTGGTTTAAGGTAGAAGCCTGCTCATCATTTTTGAGAAAGTTTGTCATAAATTGCATGACAATGTTCATTGGTTTATGATGTAAAATCATGGAGCTATTGCCCCATGGCTCCATGAAATAGCATTCTTTTGTGTGTTACAGTGATGTATTTAGAGAAACTTGTTCTAATATTTTTCAAAAATCGCTATTTTTAGAACAATTCCATAGAGCGCAATGTTAAACAAAAATTGCATTTTTCGACACTTTTTAAAACACGGATTTTTGAAAAAATTCAGGAAAACAAAAACCCATTATTTGCAATATATTATTTTATCAGCCTATGTCACCAGCTCACACTTTGAGATATGGCATAATATCATAACAAAAGCACTAAAATACTACCAAAATGGCCACTATCCACTAAAATACAACTATGATTTTCTCAAGGTTAACCTGGTGATCCCAAACTTTTTTTAAGTCGAATATTTTTATATTGCCGGGAATTACAATTTATTAAAAAAATAATAAATTCTGGGTATTTGAAATCATGAGTAGGCTTCTACCTTAAAATAGTATATGTTCGTCAAAATCAACACAACTTTTGAAAAAAATATTGGTTACCACAAAAACCACATCAATGATAAAACCTAATATTTATTTGTAATTTTTTTTATTTGGCTCACCAAATACACTAGACTAGAACATATTTTCCAGTGTTTTTCAGCTTACCTTCCTCTGTCTATTGTGTGGGAATGGGAAGTATTTAGTAAATATAAAATCTTTATTAACACTTACACACTTCTTGGAGGAAGTGGAATTAGTTGCGTTCACGCACAGCTCCTTAGCACGGGTTAAGAGGTCAAATTCCTTAGCCCATGCTAAGCAAACATGTGTGAACGCTTAGCACGGGCTAAGGAACGCTAAGTACGGGTTAAATCTGATCCGAATTTAAGACGCGGTCTAGACCCTTAGCACGGGCTAACGAAGTGTGCACGAACGCTTAGCCCAGGGCTAAGCGCCCTCTGCAGCGACCTTTGAGTGTGAACATTATGAACGTGATCAAATATATCCAACTATTCTCATTT